CACGAAGAACAACTCAAGTCGTAGTAATGCCAGTCATTTCTTTCCAGAATAAAGTCATAAGATTGGGATATCAGAGAAAATGAAGCAGACAAGGGGACTTCTGCAAAGCATTTTGGACAAGGTTACAAAACACGGGATACAGACCAGTACAATTAGGCAGATTAACAACTAGATGACTGACAATTACAAAGGGCATGAATCTGTTGATAGAAAAATATTTCTCAGCCTTATCCTAGGCAATATTTTTATTAATGGCTTAACCAAAAGTGAGAACATTTCTATCAAAAATGTCCATGTACAGAAGATCTAATTAAATGTCACTATATTTGCAAGAAGTATGCCCTTTACTCTTTCTGGAATAAAGACCCAGAAGCGTGGATTACCACCTTGGAGGGGTAGATAATATATTAGATGGCAAGATGTGAATTTAAAAAGATCTGAATAGCCTGGCACTAAATTCAATAAAATTTAATTTAAGAGAGATAAATGTAACTTTTTGCCAAGAATTTACAAAAGAAAATCATTGCCAATGTTGGGGAGACACAATCTAGCAGGGGTACATATGATACAGATGTAGAGATCATAATTGGTGTAACTTCAGTAGCTGTTATAGTATAACAGCGCTATCAGAAACTCGGATCTTAGGCTGTGCTCACAGAATGATTAGGTGGCCGTTTGCTTTGGTCAGACTAACTGGAGTGTTGTGTGTGGTTCTAGGGGCCACAGTCTACAATATTAGGGAAGGACTGGAACATGTCTGGAGGAGAATGAGTGGAATGAGAGGATTCAAAACCTCATCATGTAAGACATGGTTGAAGGGAGCTGGGTTAGCGACGTCTCTGAGCAAACATGGTGTATGTCTTCAAATAGCTGAAGGGCCAGATGTGGCCGTGTTCTGTGTAGTTCAGGACTGCAGAGAAATAGAATTAGTGCCAATCCAAGGAAGCACTTTCTAATGGTCTCCAGTGGCTGCTTCAGGAGGTAGGGAGTTCCCCATCACAGGAGGGTTTCAAGCACGGCAGACAGTGCTTCCCAAACGGGGGTACATCCATCCTCTAACCCTAGGCTATCCCTAACTTGTATAGTATTAACTTGACTATATTTGCAGTAAATACTTTCTTTCTGGAATAAAGCCTTGGGACTTCATACTACCAGCTGAAAGACCTACTTCTATGAGCCACAGAACTGTATCAAAATCCCAATAAAGCCAGTTTAATGACATGGGATTATAGAGAGCTTTCATCTATGGAGATTAGGGCATGTTCACACCAATTATTGCCTTTTATCTTCACAATACTCCCACCAGGTGAGGAGGAGGAGGAAGCAAGTTGTATTTTGCCCATTTTGTAGCCAGGGAAGCATGAGGAGATTTGGCAAAGGCTATTCCATCGTGATGGGAGTCTGCAATTGGGAATTTGGAATCTTGTTCTTCACCAATCTCTATTTTACTGGGTAAAAACCACATTCTTCCCTTCTGCTGGATGCTGTCCCTGTTACAAAGCATTTGAAAGCAACAGTAAGCTGACTTAGAACTTTTAGTTCCAGGAAAGGAGGGACCCACTGGTGGAGACAAGCAGAGCTGTTAGAAAGCAGCGTGAGAAAAGCCATTTGACCCTTATTGGTGGTGAATTACAAGGAAAACATGACTTCAATAGGACCCTTCTCCTCATTTTACCTTATTTTCCTCAATTATCTGAGGAATTGATATTTCTCTGGGATGGAAGGCAGTTCCAAAAACGGCTTTTCACATCACATGACAAAATCCAGGGCTTAAGAGCACCCTATTTCATGTTTTTACTGAGGTATGTAACACAGTATGTCTTAAATTAGATGGCAAATGTCTCTCTGACTAATCCATAAGATCTCTAAACAGAGCGGCAAACCTTCCATGTCCTTGTGTCAGGAGGTATAGAAGAGGAGGCACAAGCACAGTCTCTGAAGCGAGTCTGCCTGGGTTCAAATCCCATCTCTACCACCTATGAGCTGTGTGGCTTTGAGCAAGTCAGTCAACTGCTCTGTGCCTGTTTCCCCATCTATAAAATGGGGATCATAAGAGTATCTCCTCACAGGAGAGCTGTGAGAACTAGATCAGCTAATCTATGAGCGCCTGGCTCCTGGTATGTGTTTCAGGTGTTAGCATCCATTATCACTGCACTGTCCATATACTACAGAGCACAGCAAGCCTTCACCTTGGTGGTCAAAATCAATCTACTCTCTATTAGCCTGCCATAAGACCTTGGGCTGTCCACACCAGAGGGCAATATTAGGAAAGCATGCATGAATGAAATGCCCAGATAACCCGGAAATCTAATTTCTGCAAAACATTTCCACCAATGTAGCTTTGCTCCAGAACTGCTAACCATCTGTAAAGATCTTCCCTAGACTGTTTTGTAGAAGAGATAATGGTGTTTTAAAGAAAGGTCATTCTAAAGTAAGTTTTAAAAGAAGCCACTTTCTCCCATGAGGGAGAAATCTACCTAATTGCTCCTAGCATTAGGACTAATTTTAAGTGATTTAGATTCTGGTGTGAGAACAAGTAAAGATGGGACCAATGTGGTCTTTATGGTTGCAGCAGATGTAACCCTGGGATGTGAGGCGAAAGGAAGAATACATTAAAAGGCTGGAGGGAGGGGCTGGCCAGGTGGCGTGCCAGTTAAGTTTGGTGTGTTCTGCTTTGGCGGCCCAGGTTCTCGGTTTCAGATCCCTGGCACGGACCTACACCACACATCAACCATGCTGTGGTGGTGACCCACATACAAAAAGTAGAGGAAGATTGGCATAGATGTTAGTTCAGGGCTAATCTTCCACAGGAAAAATAAAAAATGCTGGAGGGAGAAAGCCAGAGGATGACCACCCAACAGAGCAAGGTCTTGCTCACCCCGGAATGAGCAGTTCAGAGAGCACTGGAAGAAAGAGAAAGAGAGCCACCAAGAAAGATAGAACCCCAGGAAAATGCACATCTAGGCATGGCAAGACAATTTTGATGACAAGTTAAAATCTGGGAACCATCATTACTATTACTATTCCAATTATGGTCTGGGGTCTGACTGGATGTCAGATGTAAGGAAAGTTGCTATATCCCAGAGGTTGCTCTGCTGGTTTTGATGTTTCTTTAATATTTACTTGGCTTTCACTCTTTCAGTAAAGACAATTTTTTATAATAAAGTTGCAGAAAATGTACAGTCACAAATCTGTGGGGATGCCAGGCAAAAGCCACCTTGGCAAACTCTTGGGAGGATGCCCTTGTTGTTCAGAACTGCAGGGTTCTGCCACCCCTAGTTAGCAGTGTGTCTAAACCACAGCGGGGAGGAGTGACAAATGGATATCTTCCCTCAAGGCAGAAAGTGCAAAACTCAGAAGCCATAGTTTGGTGACTTCGGGACTCAAATCTCCAGTGTGTAAAGTCCGCGTTGTCGATTGGCACGGTAGTGAAGAGCCTGCTTCTGGTCTGACGGACGAGACGTGGTTCTAACACAGCTCTATCACTTTCTGGCTGTAACACTCGGGCAAATGATTTAACTTCTCTAAACCTCCGTCGCTTCCTCTTTAATAGAGAAATCTATAGGACCCACCCTCCAGGGGAACTGGGAGGGTTCAGTGAGCTAATGTGTGCAAAGCGCGAGCCCAGTTCCTCACGAAATATTGATGATCCTCATCCTATTCACCAATCCTCTACTTGACTCGCTAGTAGAGAGTCATAAAAATGCAGAAATAATGGAAAGATAGGGGCTCGTGAGGGTGGGGGAGGGGAGGTTGCACAAAGGAACTGGGCATTGCAACACTGGCTCATTCACCCTGAAAAAGCAAGATGTGACAAAGGGTTTGGTGCCACTCGGTTCCAGAGTAAACAAATGCCCCATGAGCCATGGCCCCGTGAGAAAACCTCAACACTGCAATATTGTGTACAAGCTGCTTCAGGCGCTCACGGGGACTGGAGAGAAAGGCTGAAAAGAAAGCGGTTTTGTGGAAATGGAGACAGACTTAGCACCTCTAATCTAGCACTACAAACTCACGCTAACTTACTACTACCTTTTAGGTCCATCAAAAGAGCTATTGGAGTCTCTCAGAAATAAGCACCTTACATCTAATCAAAATCAACAATTTGGGCAGCTCTGTTACATCTGAATTGTATCCACAGGTATGTTAAGCTAGAGGGTGTCTGTGAAGGCACCATCCACCACGCCTGGCACCGACAATACAAAGAATACCCTCGCGCTAGTATAAAAAGGTGATAGTTGGATTTCTGCAGAGATCGCGAAGGTGCTGAGATGACTTCCACCTACATCCTTTTTCTCCTCCTCGTCTCAACATACAGAGACCATTCAACCTCACCTCGGGGCCCAGGACTAACACTGGCTGCTTTATTTATCTAATGAAGGTGAACTAAGAACTGAGGCCTGCATCCTTTTCTTTTCGTAGCGATCCCGTTAAAATGTTTAATGCACAAAGATCGATGTATAACTCCTGAGAAGCACATAAGAGTTTATGACATCAAATGGCCTTTAAATTTGCAGATTTCACACATACAGTTCCTTTTTCGCGCCCTAAACTACTTCCTGTGCCATGAGCATCCTGCTTCTCCTCTCAGCTCCCCTCTGTCTAACCCTCTTCCATGTATCTGAGGGGAACAGCTGCCTCACAACTGGGCAAAGCGCCGAGAACATGCCAGATTGTGGTCGGCACTGCTCTCGGACCGAATTAAAGGGACAGGGGATTTGCAGGAGCCGTAGGCACCTCTGCACAGCTCTGCCAGCCACAGGAGTCAGGCAGAACAAATTTACGAGGAAACTCAATTTTTCTTCTCTATTTCACGAGAGAAGATGAGATTCTTCTCTGTTATTAAGCTCAAACTATTATGTTACTTGCGGCTTTCATTGAAAGGTAATAGTTACTTGTTACCATAAAGAATCTGCTAAATTATTAGGATTATAAATTACACACAGGATGGTTCACTGAACTAGTGTGAGTTTCTCGCCTTAATAAATTTGCAAGTGCCAAGGCAAAAAAACAAAATCCCTGCTGCAAAAGTTATCAGGATAAAAAAAGAATTTGAATGGCCAGGGGAGCTGCCCCAGGCACAAAAAGCGTATGAAGCAGTCTCTCTCTCAGGACCCTTATTCTTTTCTCTTCTCATGGCACATCCTCCCAGGATGGTCTGTCTCATCCACCGCCTTGGCTGCTTTGAATTCCACGTGGCTGTCCCTAACCCAGACCTCTCCACTATGCTCTAGGACAGGAGGCAGCAAACTTTTCCTGTAAAAGGCTGGAGAGAAAATACTTTGGGTGTTTGTGGGCCACAACCAAGGTCCTGGTCTCGGAGGCACCTACTCAACTCTGCCCTTATAGTGCGAAAGCAGCCATAGACAATACGTAAACCAACAGGCGTGGCTGTGTTCCAATAAAACTTTATTGGCATAAATAAAAGGAGGGCAGGATTGGGTCTGGGCAGCCATGGTTTGCCGACCCCTGCTCTCGACTCCAACCGCCTACTAGACATTTCCACCTGCAAATTCCACAGCTGCCTCAAAATCCAATGTTTCAAGGCTGGACACATTCTCTTTTACCCTAGTCAGCTGTAAGCACGCCACCCACCCTCATGCGCCCAGGGCTGAAACTGGAGCATCATCCACATTCTCCACCCCGGCATCCCACAGTCAAGCAAGAATCCTATTAACTCTAACTTGTAAGGTATTTCATATGTCCCACTCCAATTTTGTGCTCCTTGAGTGCAAGGACTGTGTCTTATTCATGTTTGTAACTTTCGCTCCCTCCTATTGTCTAATCTAACGTCTGGCACATAGAAGGGGCTCCCAAAAATGTTTACTGAATGAATGAATAAACTGTTATAGCAACTCTAGAGCAGTGCTTCTTAAGCTTCAACATGCGTATATATCACCCGGAGACTTTGTACTGCAGATTCTGATTCAGCAGGCCTGGAACAGGGATCGAGGTTCTGCATGTCTATCACGCTCCCAGGATGCTGAATACTACTGGTGCACAGACCACACTTTGAATAGCAAGGATCTGGGACATACTCTTTGGTCCCCAAGTGGCACATACAAAGAGATTTCTTCTCCAATTTTGATGCATATGTTGATTTCTTTTCATGGTCATTTCATTAAATCATTACTTGTACCTATTCAAAACTCCAGAGAAAACAATAAAATAGTTTATGGCACCAAATGACTTTTAAATTTGCAGAGTTTACACACGTTTCCATTTCTAGGCCTCAGACTATTTGCTGCTGCTATTACCTCCTCCTTCTGTATTTACTCTTATCCCTGGGTGCCTACTTAATTGAATTTAAACATACCTGTGCTCATTATCCGTGTAGTGGTCTTTCTGCAGATGCTCTGCCAATGCAAGCCTTTCTTATCAAGATGTGTTACTTACCATGATTGTGCAAACGTCTTAAACAAGTTATTATTGTTTAGAAATTCAAAAGAATGGTCTGTTTTCCCAGAACTCTAGTACAATGACCAAATCAAAACCTATTTTTGGGCTACCTACACCCCTTTTTATAGCAACAAACACTTTTTTTTATCAGCAGAGCAAATAATTGCTTACAGAGTTCCAGGGACCAAATAATTCTCCCCTGTAAGCTTCCCTCCCTAAAAAAAAAGAAGGAGAATATACCAAGGTTATCTGGAGGAATTTCATACTCCATGAAAGCTGAGCTATTTTCTTTGGCAAGTTAAAAGTATAATCCCAACATTGTGGCAAAAATCACAATTCTTTGTATGAGCTCAGTAAAGTTAGATATTACATCAGGGGCAGCAGCTCTGGCTACATTCAACTTCGCCTGAAACTGGCTTTTAGTATAAAGATGCCACGGATCCATAACATGTCGGCTAATTTATACCAAGTAATCTCAGCATTTTGGATAATTACATCTCCTCTGACAATTTCTAAGGCTATTGAATTGTGTCAGAAAATAAGTGTCATAGTAAATATGTGATTTTAACTAGGCTTTTTCACTACTAAATTGTAGTAAAATGCACTATAATCAACTCATACTCTATAAATTGCTCTCTGCCTATATTTATCTCCAATGAAGAGAAGCAAATTGCCTTAGCTGAAATTATAGAAGAAAACGATTACAAAGGTATGGCAGTTTTATAACTGATAACTTATAATACCTGTGTCTTAGTCTGTTCAGGATGCTATAACAAAATACCACAGACTAAGTAGCTTATAAACAACAGAAATGTATTTTCCACAGTTCTGGAGGCTGGAAGTCCCAGAGCAGGGTGCCAGCATGGTCTGGTGAGGGCCCAGGTCACAGACTTCTTGCTGTGTCCTCACATGGTAAAAGGGGCTAGAGAGCTCTGTGGGGTCTCATTACAAGAGCACTAATCTCATTCAGGAGGGCTCCACGCTCGTGACTTAATCACGTCCCAAAGGCCCCACCTCCTAACACCATCACATTGGTGTTAATATTCCAACGTGTGAATTTTGGGGGGACACAAACATGCAGACCACAGCAACCTGATTTCACTATGCATTATATATATGGCAAAAATTCCTATTTATCCAAAATCTAAATGACCAGAAAGCTCAAATAAAATGTGTTTAATAGTAATTGGTTTTCATATTAACAACTCTGGGGAACTAAAAGATCCTGAAGGGTCTTCTAAATCATCCAAGAAACATTAATACTTAGAGGAGCTCATGTGGTCCAGTTTGCACACCTGACAGCTGTGTGCTGGGTCCAGAGGAGGGAATCACTTGCCCATGAATGAGTGGCAAAGCAGGGCCTAGACCCCAGTTTGCCTCGTACCCTCACTGATTGAATGGTGTTAAATATCGTAATCTTCTGTGTGTTCAATTTCTTAGAAATTTCATAGTTCATGCATGGTCCATCCTATCTAAAATTTCAACATCTATCATGATGTTTCAGAAATCCCTTCCTATGTACTTTATCTCTTCTCTTCCCTTTGGCATTCTCACAATTTTTTTTTAAAATCCTGTGTCCCCCATGAGAAAGTAAGATTCCTAAGAACAAAGACTTTTTTCTTTTATTCACTGTGATATCACCTAGAACAGTGTCCAGCACAAAGTGAGAGGTCAGTAAATATTTGCTGATCGAAAAAAAAATGAATCATATATGATAACCCTCAAACACATCACTGCATTATCAGAATACCCCATTTTAGTGTCATCTATTTGACATTTTTCCAGAACCTCTGATGTGCCACGCATTTTACAAGGCTGAGGTGAACCTCAGAGTAATAGATTTATTTTATTCATTCAGGGAGCTTAATTTAAGGTGATCCTATTATTGTAACCTCCTAATGCAATGTCATCCCTTATCAGCTCAATTGTGCAGACTGTACCTACGCATTACTCCCTGAAGGAATTATTTTCACCTTCAGCCTGAAGTTAGAACTCCTATGATTCAGCAATATGCTTCCTAGGATCATACAGGAGGGAAATGGCAATTTTTGTGCTAGTCTGCCAAAACTGAGAAAGATGGAACAGATCAAAATAAGGAGATTGCCAGGCAATTTTGACATATTTTTCGTCTCAGATACACCCATCGCAAGCCAAAGCATTTCATAACTATGGGAAGATCCTTGTAATAGAAGCATACACAGTATCAGGTATCACCCACGACATTTGTTTTTGAGGTAATCAAAAAAATAGAAATGACGGGCTGGCCCAGTGGTGTAGTGGTTGAGTTCGTGTGCTCCGCTTCGGCGGGGCCCGGGGTTGCCAGGTTTGGATCCCGGGCGCGGACCTATGCATTGCTCATCAAGCCATGCTGTCGTGGTGTCCCACATACAAAATAGAGGAAGATGGGCACAGCTGTTAGCTCAGGGCTAATCTTCCTTAGCAAAAAGAGAAAGATTGGCAATGGATGTTAGCTCAGGGGCCAATCTTCCTCACCAAAAAAAAAAAAAGAAAGAAATGAATATATGGCTTTTTTTCCCAGGAACATGATACAAATCATAATTTCATAAGAATTCAGAAAATTGTACAATATTTTCACAATTGAATGATAAATTACAGTAAGGTTAACTCTTCTATATTGAGAATGCTGATTGGAGCATTTAAATTGGAGCTCTGAGGGGTTTGGTGGCACTTAGAACTCCTTTGCCCACATAAGCCCACATGTTGATCTAATGAAGTGACACTTTCTGGAGGGAATGCCTGGAATTATTCCATCTCAGAACAGCTTATAAGAATCCAGAAAAACAAAAGGCAGTAAAGTCTTAATTATTCATCCTTCAATGCAAGCGCAGGTAATTTAAAAAAGTGTTTTTATTTGGCTTTAGATGCCCACTTATCCTTCTCAGTTCTCCTTCAATGGTCATCTCAAACGCTCTACCTCCCACCTAACGTGAACTTGCACTTCTTGGAATTTCCATTCAATTAATATTCTCTGCATGTCTCATCTCCCTGACCACACCAACATCTCTTTGGAGACAAGAACCATTCTGTATTTATCTTTATTATCTTTGTTGGCTCTCAGCTCAGATGTATTGTATATAGTAGTCACTGAGAAATATTTGTTGCCAATGAATTATTTGAATTTTTTTTGTTGGTGGTGTAACTTTCCAATTCCTCTTCCCAGGTTAATTTTTTAATTGTATTATATTTTTACTTGTGTTAAAATACCCATAACATGAAATTTACCATCTTAACCATTTTTAAGTGTACACTTCAGTAGTGTTAAGGACATTCATATTGTTGTGCAACCAATCTCCAGAATTCTTTTCATCTTGCTAAACTAAAATTCTATACCCATTAAACAACAACTCCCCATTTCCCCCTCTCCCCAGCCCCTAGCAACCACTGTTCTACGTTTTGTCTCTGTGAATTTGACAATTCTAGGTACCTCATGTAAGTGGAATCATCTAGTATTTGTCTTTTGGTAACTGGCTTATTTCACTTAACATAATATCCTTGAGGTTTATCCAGGTTGTAGCATGTGTCAGAATTTCCTTCCCTTTAAAGACTGCATAATAGTCCATTGTACGTATATACCACATTTTGTTTATCAATTTATCTGTCCAGGGACAATTGGGTTGCTTCCACCCTTGAGAAACAAAATGAACGAAAACTTATTTGCCTCTTTCGCTACCCCAACAATAATAAGATTTTGGCTGTTGTGAATAAGCTGCTATGAACGTGGGTGTACAAATCTCTCTTTGAGATCTTGCTTTTAATTCTTTTGGATATACACCCAGAAGTGGAGTTGCTGGATCATATTGCCCCAGGCTAATATTAACATTAGTTTGTATACTGACGAGCTCCAGGGATAGGAGATGAAAAACGAAGATTCCAAGAAGACACTGGGCTGAACACCTCTATAAGCAAACAGGGATTGGTGCCCCCTGAACAGAATGTTGAGACTCTGTGACTCTGAGAAGCTCTTGCATCGTGTACAATTTCTAAAAATGATAAACACCCACAGTAAGTTATGTCCTATAAACTACCGTGAGACCCCCACCCTACCCTAGAGAGGATAAAGTGTATGGACGTGAAGAGCCAGAGGGGAGAGTGCAGGGAGATCAAGAATCATGGGATCAATAAGACTTTCTGGGAGGAATCTTCCCAAGTGGAGCATCGTAGGAATGAATGATTTCGTGTTTAGGAAGCTTAATCTTTCCTTCCTGGCTTGGCCAAGTACCATGGTCCCAAGCACAGCACTTGTCTAAATGCACTGCTTTCCCAGAGTGCAGCTGTCACCTCAAATGAGGTGTGTTCCCCCCTTAGCAGTCCTTAGGGTGCTCAGCAGAGGACGGCAGGGAGCAATGAGGGACCAGGGGCTCGTCTGCATTTCTGAGAGGGAGCTGACACCTCTGGGAGCTCAACCAGCAAATCCTTTGCCCCATCTGCTTTGTGAAGATTTCCTCACTATTCCAGGGTCCCTCTCTTTTAGGAGAATCCTCCCAATTTGGGTTCACACCTACCAACCTAGAGGCTAGCGCCTTAGGAATTTCTCCTCCAACACTTCTTAAATTGTGACAATTTGTTCCTGGGGAGAAATGTGAATATAAGCATTAACCCAGCAACTGTATACATCTCAGGAAGGCTGAGGAGGGCTAGGGCGGAGGAAGGGCTTGGCCTTGGCAGTGAGCAGGTCCTTGGTGACCTGTGAGCTGATTTACTGAGGCTGAAGTCCAACTGGAAATGGTTAAAGGACCAAGTGGACCCACAGAGATACAAGAATACTGACTATATTTTTGGAACAGAGTTTGAAAAAAAAGAATATCTGCAAAAGATAAAGGTAATGTTCTAGAGATCTGGGCTGAACAATTGCTCAGGATACAGGGAAACTATTGATAAATGTAGAAGATTTCTACAGTCACACTATAGCCATTAGAATTTAATGTAGGATCTAAAGAATGAGCAATTTTCAATCGTGGAGATTGGAATGTTGGGAGGGAAAAATGAAGAAAAAGCATATGCTGGTGGTACATTTTTAACCTAGTGTTTTGCAAGTATAATAGGTTATTTCTATTCTTGTAAGACTCCATTTGTTTTAAAATAACGCCATTATTTGAGAATAGTCTGAGTTTCTTAATACTTCAATTTCATTTTAATAAATGAGAGCCCAGAAAAACGCATTCTTCAAGCAGGAGAAGAGAATTTTTTCAGAGCTCCCCTCTATATGGTGGTAAGGAACATGTTGCAGAAGAACATGTTCTCTATTACTTAGGTGACTTTAGACAATTAATCCTTTTGCATCTCTGCTTTGTTATTCATAAAGAAGAAATAATCTCTAGATTGTGAGGTTTCTCTGACCTCTAAAGCTAGCCTCTCTTCTTTCTTCTGCCCTCAAATGAAATCTATAGCCCTTGGTGACACGAATTTTGGTCAGATTAATTCCTTGCCATTTTACCCTTCACGTGGAATGAGAAAATCATATTGTCTTTATGAGTTTTGATCAACTGTTCAACAATGCAAATTTGGCAACGTAGCAGGAGAAGGAAAGTAAGAAGGGGAGGCAGAGCGTGAGGGGAGAAGCAGCAGGAGGCATTGAGACAGTTTCCCAAGAGAATAGGAAGAGAAAAGCAGAAAAAAGTAAAAAGATGAGCAAGAAAGAAGAACGTAAAGACATGAAAGGTGATATTTTCAGATATGCATTGAGGTTTCAAAAAATACGTTTCCAAGCATCGAGAAGCATCAGGCAGCCATGAAGTGACCACTGACAGATCACTCACATTTGATCAGGTGCAGAGCTGAGACCTGACAAAGGAAGGACTTGTATTAATTTCCAGCACCGTAGGTGCCTCAAATGACACCCAAAATTTAAAATGTAATCTAGTGAAGCACGGATACAGAAGTGAAAATGTCAGGTAAATAATACCTGAATCTTTTACCCAACTTGCTCTTGACACTTTCCCTAGAATCTAGGTCACCCCTCTGCCCCCAACTGAGGGCAGGAATCTTGATCTGTTTTGTTACTTATGTATTTCAGGTGCTTAAAACAACGCCTGGAATATGGTGGATACTCAATAAACACTTGTTGCATAAACAGTCATTCAATCAATATTTACTATGAGATCGCTCTGTGGCAGCCCTGGGCTTGGCATAAAAGAAATAAAGATATGTTTAAGACACGATCCTCCCTCTACAATGTGGTAGGGGAGAGAGAATGTGACAGGCCTTATAGATATGAGAAGCAGCAGCACATAAATATGTTAGGGGTAGAGGTGCTGGAGCCACACTATCTGAGTTTGAACCCGTTCTTGCCCGTTTCTACTGTGATGCCTTGGACAAGTTACTTAACCTCCCTGTGCCTCAGTTTTCTCATTGTAAAGTGGGGCTATAACCCTCATGGGGATGTTGCAGGGACTGCATGCATTACTCTGAGAGAAGTGTAAAGTACCTGATACAAAGTAAGTGCCAAGAAGTGCAACAGAAAAAAAAATTAATGATAACGATAAAGGGTGGGGGGGGAACTCTGAGGTGATGAACACGACCATGACCTTGATGGTGGTGACGGTTTCACAGGTGTGTACTTATCCCCAAACTCAAAGAGCTGTATACATTAGACATGTACAGCTTCTTACACGTGAATCATACTTCAAAAAACTGGTTTAAAAAAAAGAAAGACGAGCATTAGAGATTTAAAGCTTCTATGAGAGAGTCCAGAACAATGAATGAGGTATTAAGCAGGGTCGATTCTGGGAAAAGAAGTGGTGACTGTCAGGAAAGACTCCAAGAGAACATGTGACCTTCCAGCTGAGTCTCGTAAGATGGGCCCCCATTTGCCAGATTGTTGGGAGGACAGGATAGCACAGTCGAGAATACTGTGAGCAAAGGCCTGGAGGCAAGAAGTCCCATCAGAATATGACAAAATGGCTATTCCCCGTGGCAGTGGGAATGTGATGGAGGGAGTGGAGGCCAGAGATGCTAAGGAGGCTGAAGCCACTCCAGAGACTGAGGAGCCTCAGTCGCTTATTACGTGTGGGTGGGAGGGAAAGGGTCCAGGATGAGGATGTGGATAGAGACAGAAAAGCAGGTTACTGGGCATTTTTATTGCGTGTCAATGACTTGTTTTGTTCTTCGTCTTCCCTCAATAGTCATTTTTTAAAAACAAGTATTTATTTGGGGATTTAGTCATCTAATTTGTAAAATAACATTTTAGATTTTTGTCCCTTTTCAAAAGAAATATATGCTCCTTACAGAAAATTTTTAAAATACTTTTGGTCACTAAGAACAAAAGAAAATTCACTTATCATTCCATTTACCACAATAACCACCCCATTTTGATCTTTATCCTTTTCACTGTTTATATGTTACACATTTTCAAAAAAATGTTTTAATTGCACAAATGGGCTCATATGGTATTCACTGTTTTATAGCCTGATTTTTAAAAATTAAATGCGAACATGATTACATGTCATTTAATATTCTTCTACACAATTTTAACAACTTGCAAGCATTTCATTATATGGACATATCATAATTTATTTTTATCTACTCCCTTACGAGAACGTTTAAGTTGTTTCCATTTTTTTGATTACTGAACATTCCTGTTGATACATCTTCGCACACATCCTTGCTTTTCGTGTTCATTTTAATGTGTTTCATCTGCACAACAACGTCGAAGCGAGGGAAGGAAAGTGAAGTAAATACACCAAGTCGATTGTACTCTTCACAGGAATTATCCCAACCACAAGTCCTTGGTCCCCCCACCCAGAAATGCCATGTGCCTGCCCCATGGGAGACGGAATGGGGTGGGAGAAACCCATTTGAGGTAGGGGGCATCCTGCCTGGCCAGTGATTCCAGGAATCAGCACTCAGGCCCCTCACTCTGCTGCATTCCACAGAGTCTTGCCAATGAGGAACCACGCCAGAGCCAGGGCAGCACCGATGAGCCAGGTGAGGTAGGCCTCCTCTGTGTCCCCCTCCAGGAGACGGGCAATGCCCAGCCTTCACAGCAAAGTAGCTGACCACACCACAGCATCCTCCTTAGAGCCGTACACAGATTCGGGAGGAGAAGCTTTGGGTTGTGCACTCTGCCTCTCTCACTGCCACACACTCCTAGCAGAAGCTAAGCCAAGAAAGGACAGTGACAAAGGGAGGGAAAAGGAGAAGCAAGATAAGAAAACTCAGTCATCTGAGATGGCATGCTTCCATCCCGTGGGCCATTATAAATACATTGATAGAGGAGGGGAGGGGAGGAGCAAATGGTTTGGCTTCTGTGAGTGGAAAAGAGACAGACAAATTAGGAGGGTGTCTCAAGGAGTCTGCACCCAACTCAGAAATACAAGAGTAGAATTAATCAACTAAAATAAAAAGAAGGCACTGCTCCTCCCCAGTCTGCTCATCTGGAGAATTGGGCTAAAACCAAAAGAACAGTGCCATTCCAAACACTCTTTGAACCCTAGTACAAGGTCTACTATTTTTAACTCAAAGAAAGATTTTGGTTGCTTCTTAAAATTTATTATTGTAAAAGACCATGATATTAGTTCTGTCTTTGCTATAATAGTGGAAACCCTCTAGATAAGGTCCTTGCTTTCTACTCATTCATTTGTTAGATCATTGGCTCATTCATTCATTACACATTGATTAACTATTATCGATTGATAATGTACTTTGTGAAGGACATGGCATCACCAGGTATTGTGCATATGGTCATGA